GGGCCCCAACTTTGTAAGGAGGGGGCCCGCAGTGGACTTGTAATAAAAGTTATGATACAATTTTTTTCACCCGTACTCCCCCTCAGGGAATTTTTCTCCAAGAGGGGGGAGGACCGGGCCCCTCGTCCCCCTCGGCACGCCACTGTTATAAAGTACTCCAAATGGGACCTACCCCCTCATACTTGTATCGTCTATATCTCCAGAACGGCTCATCTGTTTGAGCTGAAATTTTCAGTTTCTTCTTAACTTTGTTAGGGCTACCTACTGTAAAAATATCAGCCAAATCGGTGAGATCGATTGAGCAACGTTGGTCGTCGCTTACGTGCAATGCCTCATAGGTAGATAGAACTTCTTATAAATCAGAAGAAAAACACGATTTATCAAATTTTTACTGCAGTATTTAGTATTTTTAGGATTGAATTGATTCATTAGTCATATAATGTTAATGGAAATGTTTCAACTTATTGTAAAAGAATAACATCAAGCTTTTCTCTGATATTGACAAATTAATTTTTATTTAATGTACGTACCGAAGTAAAATTTCCATCATAGTTTATGTTCGTTTTTCAATTAAGTCATTTAATTCAATTTCATCACAATGTATTGTATCTGTATTCCATAATAAAATTTTAGCATATTTTCCATTTCAATTTTTCGAATGTTGTCTAAAACAAAAATAAATTTGATTGAGCATGTTCCTTAGCTTTATCAATACCAGTTGCTTTAGCGAACGTCATGTTAACTTTTGCAATGAACTATCATTATTATGATCAGATAATTTTTCACCTTTGTGTTCATCATCGATTGTCTGAGAGTCATCTAATAAAATCGACGTTGTACTTCTTCTTCTTATACAATTAAAGACGAGGTCATTATTGCAGGGGTCGCAGCGGCCTAGTATGCAAAATCAGGAATCAGGACAGGAATTTTCAAGAAAAAAATCAGGATTTGAGCCAATAAATCAGGATTCCAAAAACATGGGCACTATTAATCGAAAATCCGCATCATTTCGCAGTAGGAGTTACGAAATGTCAAATGAAATTCATTCTCTGTTCAATTCACGTTCTGTCAGTGATCATTTTTCCTTTTTTAAATGAATGCACAGCTGAAACTGACTCAACAGAACGACGTAAAACCGACGAAATTGATATCGAGCAGAACCGAACTATTTGAAAAGTTTCCCTAACCTGCGGAAATGGGTATTTCATTGGTAAAAACTATAAATGTCATTCTGTAGCCCTGCTTTTGCTATAAAACCACTAACATGCAAGATGGTATTACCTTGCAAAATTTCTGAAATCATTTGAAAAAACATCACTGCTGAAAGCAAAGAAATTAGAAGTTAGTGTCTGATTCTGCTTCAGAGGTGTCTCGAAGCTACTGCTAAGCGATGTTAGCAATACTTCTACACCATTTTAATCAACTGTCAGTCTGGTTCATTTGTACCGTTCGCACACTACCCAATCTAGGAATGCAACGGTGATGGTGAAACACGATTTCACCGATTCATACCGGTAACTGATTCTTATTCGTGCACACTGGTACTAGCCAGTATTCGCTTAATACCGCCGGCATAAGCTGGTATAAGCCTAATATGGCCGGAATAAGTCGGTAGAACGGTTACCAGTAAGGGCTAGTTATCTTCACCGTTGCATGCCTAACCTTATCAGACAAATAACGAAAAGTTCGACGTTTTTATGCGTAAAAAGGGAACATTTTAACGCGTAAAAAAATATTTGTTTTGTGGGAAAAAAGCGTGTTGGTGAAAGTTTATATTTTTAAACTTGATTTTTTTCGTATTTTCTTTAACGCGTTAAAATTTGTGCTTTTTCGCGTAAAAACGTTGACTTTTTCGTTACTTGTCTGCCTGAGTAGCACTAACTGCATATGTGACAATGAGGGCGTCTATATACGATACAAACGGCATCAAAACTTTGTTCTACTTTTTAGACATGGAGAATAGCGATGAGAACGCATAAACTATGTGAAGAAATAATAGACAGCAGACAGAAAGAGTTTCATTTTGAGATTTAGATCACTAACATCTGTTTCAATTTTAGCAAATTTCTATTTGACATTATTATGAAGTTGTTTCTGAATCTGCCAGAAAATCAATCGAATTAGTGATTTTGAATCAGTTTAAATTTGTCCGATGAACTATTGACTCTCCTCGTTGGATGACCATCAACGAATCTCAGCAAATCTTCAAGTTTGGTTCGGCGAAAAGACACTCATAACACAACAGAACCTGAAGATCTATTGAGAATCTTTCATAGCCATTCAACGAGTAGAGTTGATGATTCAACGGATTATTAGCTTCTAGACCTAACCTGTGTTTGTTGATTCTTTTCCCCTTCTTTAATGACGTCACCTAATCTTGTCGGAATCTTACAGTCAAAAGATTACTTTTTCTCGTATATTCACTGACATTTTTTAGTTCATAAAGAGCAATGTCTACTTTACAAACATGACAAACAACGCGATCATTGAAAAACCAAAGTCATCATCGATTCAAGATGGAGTTTCTGAAACGCCTCTACCTAGACTAAATTGAAATCTTCAAGGGAATGATCAAGTTTCGAAAAGTAACAAAAATCAGGAAAATCAGGATTTTTTGCCAAAATCAGGATGTATCAGGACGATTTTAAAAAGCCAGGAAAAAATCAGGAAATCAGGACCGCTGCGACCCCTGATATTATTGATAAGATATATCGATACGTTTTGAATAGCCTCGAAACAAAACTATTATGGAATGTTGAATGCAAATGAACTATTTCAATATTAAAAAAGATGTATCAATACTGACATTGAACGAATATTTATACAAATCAATATGAAAAATTCTTGGCATTGTAAACTTTAAATTAAAATACACACGTATATTTAGTTCGTGTACCTTCGAAATTACATATTCTTTTTCTGAAAAAACTGATGTTTGAAGTAATTATCATCAATCAAAAAAGATAATTTTATGATGAAAATAGGCTCTAGTTGTTCATTGAAAATCTCTAAATATGACAACTAGTCTATATTTCATTAAGAATTTCAAAATACTTTTGTTTTCTTAACTGCTCTTCTACTTTAGATGATTAACATTTCGTCGTAATGCATAGACAGAAAAGTCAATAATTGTAAAACATAGTCCCTCTAATAATTTCAAGTATTAATTCGAGTTATAATCAATACAATCTTACACATTTCAAGGGAACAACTTTCCAAATAGTTTATTACAATAATGTAATCAACCAGTATTCTGCTGGTGTCGTTATCCCTTCCGTTCTATAGTTATTCTGGATGTAAGTATGAGAGCGAGTATAAATGATAAATTCTATGAGATCCACATCCATCCACACTCAAGAAGCTTGTTCACATTTAAAAGAAAGTATGTTTATTTTAAGAGCAAATTTTACTAAAAGATACAACATGAAAAGTTTCACAATTTACAACATTTTGTTTTATATATTTTCATCTTTTGTTTCTAAAGTAAGCAAAATTATGTGCTAACATAAACTGATTTTGTTCACAGTGTTGAAAATTGGTAGCACAGAATTTTGTCCCTTTTGAAAACAAAGAGTGCGTATATAAACTAAGGCTTTTGATGTAACTCGTAGAGCTTTTCACGCTGCGTCTTTTAATATACTTTGCTGTTAGAAAACATTCTTGACATCATCATCTTCCTGTAATCTTTTCTTAAATCAGTACAGAAATAAATTTGATTATGATTCTATATAGAATTTCATAGCGCATCTTTTGGAGAAACAATCAATTCTAAAGATTAAAAACAAAAAAAAATTGTAGTCAAAATACTGAAAGATCCATTTATTATGGGACATCCGTTATATCGGCATAAAATATCTATAACATTTGTTAACTATATTTCGTATAAAATAGATAATAGATTTAATAGATTTTTGATTAATAGAAGAATAAATAATAACAATTTCAATATATATTCACTTTTACTCTAATGAAAAATATTTTGAGATGAGATTACAATTTAAAATAATTTTATATATTTGTCTCAATCAAGAATTGTTTTCTAAATACAAAACATAATAGGTTTTATTCATAGAGAATTTTAACATTTTATAGTAACCTAGTGATCTGTTTCTTTTTTAGCTCGAATTATTTGTACACTTTTTGCTTAGACCTAGAACGAGATTATGTAAAAAAAAAACAAACTGGTACTTTTTTTTCTTATGAAGGTTTTCTTCAATAAACATTCATATTCATCCTCGTCGTTGTACGAATCAAAAAAAAATTATACAAATTTTCACTTGATAGATAAGACAATAACAATTTAAAATAATATATCTTTATTTTGTTTTTTTTCTCCTTTTCTTTCGCTCAATCATGAATTGTCTGACACGATATCGAGCGCACGACATATGAGTTGTTCTTAAACATTCGAGATGAAAAATCAACATGAAGTGTTTAAGAACGAACAAGATATCGTGCACTCATTTTCTCCACGTACGCACAAAAACACCGGTTGTTTTCATTCACTGCGTATTTATAATTCGGTTACGTCGACGTCGTCTTTCATTCACGTCTTTCCGTCTTAATACCTTTTTCTTCTTTCCATTTCTGCTTCTTCTCGTTCTTCGTAACAGAAGAGCAAAAAATATTCTAAACAAATGGAGCTTTCGGGGGTGGCTCTAAAACAAAATGAACCTTCCCAGGGATATCCGACGTTTTGTTGGTGACCCGTACAGGCGTGCAGATGGTAGGCCTTCATAACATACATCTATGTATGTATGACTAGCAGCTTCCATCTTGTCATCGTCTTTTCGAAGACCTTGATCATGGAAGTACTAGTCATACATATATTCAATGTATGTTTGCCTAACCATTGCCGGCTTTGTCCAGTGTACAACCCAATAGAATACTGAGGGTATTCCTGGTCGCGCGTGCGGGAAATTTTTGCTGCTGGTGCGCTTTGATGAGCCTTATATCCATGAATACCCAATTTATTTTCTCCGTTTAAAAGAAAAAAAAGATTACATTTTCTTTTTCACATTGTCAATGTTTCTTTTCGCAAGTGCAATATGTGGATGATTTGAAGGTAGTGATTTTTTCCAGATTTCTTGGGCTTTTTCATAATATTGAAGTGCTTTCGAGTACTCGCCCATGTGATGATACACCAAACCGATGTTGTTGAAGGAAGAAGCCAAGTCGGGATGATTCAGAGGGAGAGCAATTTTTTTGATTTCAAGTGATCGTTCGTACGATGAAAGTGCTTTCGAGTACTCGCCCATCTTATCATACAC